TTTTTTTATTTCTTTCTTGCCGCCACCGCTTGGCGAGCTCCGGCGCTTCTTCGAGGCCGCAGCAGGGGGCGGCTCCGCCGGGGGCGACGCAGGCCAGCAGCAGCTGCGCGAGGCGCGCTCGGGAGTGCAGGTCCGGTGCGCGGTGTTGGCACGCGCCCCGCCGCCACTCACGCCATCCCTGCTGGAGGAGGAGGTGCGCCAGGTGCGCGAGCGAGAACAGGAGCTGCAGCGGCAGAGGCGTAGCATCTACGGCACCACTGAGTTCAAGGAGCCCGCGCCAAGTCTCACGGGTGAGCCGCGACGCCGGGGACCTAAGGCTCCAGCAGCCCCAGGGACTGCCCAGCGCCAAAGGCTCTTCCTATGGCGCTCTGATTCTAGGGTTTCTCCCTCCAGGCTCCCAGACTCCTGGGGTCTCTGCCCCCCGCTCTGTGCCCCATCCCACTTAGAAGGATGGAGTCCAGATCCACATCATCCAGGCTTGGGGAGGGGCTTCTGGGCTCTTGCCTCTCCACTCTAGGTTCTCTCTCCTGTTCTCGGGTCCCCAGAACTGGGCGGAGGCCTCCATGAGGACGGGGGTGTGTGTGTGGACACCTGTATGTATCTAAGGGGCGCGGCCGGCCTGCTCTGTCCCGGCCGCTCGCAGCTGGTGATAGGAGGGGCCCCAGCTGACAGTCTCCTCCCTCGCAGCGAGCCGGGGCGACGGAAAGCTGGCAGTGACATGGCCCCCCCGCAGAAAGGCCCCGGACAGCGGCCTGGAGCAGGTGGGAGACGCCCCCCCTCCTGTCGCTTCGCCACAGTCCCTGCGGCACCAGGACGCGAAGCGGGGAGCACTGCACCCTGCAGACCCCTGGAGCCACACTATAGCCAGAACTCAAAGTCGGGGCGCAGCCGGGGGATGGAGGGGGTGAGGAGGAGGCGGTGATCCTGGGGCCCGCATCGCCCCGCCCTGGTCTGGCTGCGGTACACGGGTCCCTGAGGGCGGCCTGTCCCTCTCTCTCTAGGAGGGACGCGGACCCTGAGACTTGGATAGGCTGGGACCTCTGGCCGGAAGTAGCACACCGGGGCGGGGACCCAGCAACGCGCGCGCCTGACCCGCGGGAGGAGGCCTGGAGCGGTCTGGCCCTGTGCACTGGAAACTTGCAATCGACCTGTGCATCTTTGATCTCGGTCTGTTGGGACGCGCCAACGCCCTCTCTAAAACTATTTGGTCTCCTTTGGGAACCTTACCACCACCTGCAGCCCTGTGAGTGAAACGGACCGCACTCTCCACGTAACGGCGCACAGAGCCAACTAAACTTCTCTGTTAGAGAGCCAGGGCCACCACACACCACCAATAAAGTCCCCTCCTTTCTGAGCAGTGTAACCTGTTTTCTTTTGGGTTCTCTTCGTCTGGGGTACGGTAGGCAGAGGGAGGTCTGAGAAAGTCGCCGAGGCGCCGGCCGGAATGCGGGAATGTGCCCTTGTCCCCTGTACCAGCGCTGCCCTCCTCCCCCGGCCAGCCCAGCCCAGCCCGGTTCCCACTGCCCTCTGGCGGCGCGGGCGCAAAATGTGGTGCTCGTAACAAGCTCACGCGCTGCTTTCTCGACTTCAACTTTTATATGTGTCAACAGCTTGCTCAGCTCCGGGCACCGCTAAACAGAAGTCACATGAGCTGTTCTTGATCTAGAGATGTAAACAATACCTTTTAAAAAGAGGCTGGAATGATGATGGTCCCAGCTCCCGCTAGATAGCAGCAGTTCCCGGTAATCCTCCTCCACACATCTTTCCTGCTATCAATAAACAAGCAGGGAGTAGGGGCAGAGTTTCTGCTTTCCAAAAGCAACTGGAAGCCCAGCCCAGTGGTGCACTGCCAACTACTTGGGAGGCTGAGACGAGAGGATTGCTGGGGCCCAGGAGTTTAAGGCCACCTGGGCAACATTAGCCAGACTGTCTCAAAGGCACACAGCAGAACCCAGCTATTAAAAGAAAAATGTAGAGGCCAGCTCAGTGGTAGAGCTGTTGCCTAGCATTTGTGAGCTTCTCATCCTCCACCCGACTCCCTCACTTTGCAGGGAGCTACATTCTCAGCCCTTTTAAACATTTTTTTTTTTTTTTTTTTTGAGATAAGTTCTCCCTAAGTCACTAATTTGCCCAGGCTGAGCTCCAACTTTCAATCTTTAGTGAGACACTGTCTCAAAATTACAAAGAAGGCTGGGAGTATAGCTCATTGTGAGGACTCTGGGTTCAACCCTCACAACAGAAAAAAAAAAGTCTTGGATCTAATTCTGTCTTCTGCATAGGGAGAGCAAGTGTCTAGAGAAATAACAATGAATAAAATATAGAGAAGAAACAAGCATTGCACCAGCAGCTCAGCTCACCGCATGAAGGGCCCATCCTGAGCTGTCACCCACACACAGACCGCATACCTGACCAAACTCAGGAAGTATAGAGACAGAAGCAGAGCTAGAGCTGCCAAGATGGGACACGGAAACAGAGTCCTTCTTAATTCCCAGGAGGGAGCTAAGAACTAATCGTGTAGAGTGGAGGAGACTGTTTATGCGTAGACAGGAGGTTTTCTTTCTTTTCTTTTTCTTTCTTCTTTCTTTCTTTCTTTCTTTCTTTCTTTCTTTCTTTCTTTCTTTCTTTCTTTCTTTCTTTCTTTCTTTCTTTCTTTCTTTCTTTCTTTCTTTGTCTTTTTGAGACAGGGTCTTGCTATGCAGTTCAGGCTGGCCTGGAGCTCACTTTGTAGCCCAGGCTGGTCTTGAACTCGCAACGATCCTCCTGCCTCAGCTTCCCAAGTGCTGGGATAATAGGTGTGTGCCACCACACTCAGTGACTGGAGGTTTTCTAGCTTTCATTTATGTTAAATTTAACTTGAGTTCCGTATGCCAAGTAAATCAGAATGGGGAATGATGATGACAGGTTATTCTATTTTTTTGGGGGGTGTAGGGGTCAAATCCAGGGCTTTGTTTCTCAGGGTGTGTGTGTGTGTGTGTGTGTGTGTGTGTGTGTGTTTGAATTTGGGACAGGGTCTCAGGTTAGGTGAGCATTATGGTACAGGCTTGTTATCCTAGCTACTTAAGAAACTGAGGCAGAAGGATCACAAACTCAAGGCCAGGACATCCAGGGCAATTTAGCGGGACCCTGTGTCACAGGGTTAAAAGGACTGGGGGTGGAGCTCAATCCAGACCCAATGATGAAACTGCACGAGACTCTGACACAAAGTTTGAGAATCACGGGTTCAGACAGTTCCTGAGAAACAGGACCCAGGAAATCAAGCTTTTCCTTCCTCTTCCAATACTGCTGCCACTCACCAGAGACCGTTAGTGTGTAAGCAAACTGTGGACTTGGTGTGCAGGAGATAGAAGCTGCTTGTGGCTATTCTGAATTGAGATGCACTCTAAGTGTTAAATACACAGCAGACTTCTTTCTTTTTCGTTTTCTTCCTTCCTTCTCCCCTCCCTCCTCCCCCTTTCTCTCTCTCTCTTACTTTCTTCTGACAGTTTCATGCTATGTAGTTCAGGCTGACCTGGAACTCAGTGATCCTTCTGCCTCAGCCTCCTGGGTGTTGGGATTACAGGTGTGTGCTACAATGCCCTCCCCACAGCAGATTTTTTTTTTTTTTTGGTCTTTTTGAGACAAGGTCTCGATAAGCAGCTCAGGCTGGCCTTGAGCTCAGTTTGTAGCCCAGGCTGGCCTCGAACTCACAACGATCCTCCTGCATCAGCCTCCCAAGTGCTGGGATTACAGGAGTGTGCCACCACGCCCAGCCCCACAGCAGATTTCAAAGATTTAGTATATACACACAAAGAGAAACTTCATTAATGTTCTTTTTAAAATTTATATTTTAAAGATAATTAAAAACAATAAAAATGGGGGCCGGGGATATAGCTCAGCAGCACAGCGCCTGCCTGGCAAGCGCAAGGTCGTGAGTTCAATTCCCGGTACTGGAAAAACAAAACAAAACAAAAAATGATAGGAAATTAACAATGGTTATTATATTGCATATTGTTATCTTCCAAGTAGTTGCTCAGATTACCAGGTATAGGCCTGCAAGATTGCTCAAACAATATAAACACAAACTGTTTCTTTCAGTGAACTAATAGAAATTAGTAGTACAGTTATCTTAGCTATCATATATATGTATGTGTGTATATATATATATATATACCCTCCTTTTCTCCTTTCCCCATCCTAGTTGTTTCCTTTTGAGCAATTTCTTCCCCTTTCACAATATCTACTGTACCTTTTGTATCTTATTTACTCTTTCATTTTCTTACACTAGGGAGATAACAAGATGTTTACACATGCAAGTCTGATTTATTTCACTTATAAGTATGGTCTCTAGTTGCGTCCATTTACCTATAAAAGCCTCGAGTTTATCTTTTTTTAATAGCTGAGTAATACTCCATTATATAAAAATACATCTTTTTTATCCATTCCTTGATTGATGGACATTTGGGTTGTTTCTGAGATTTAGCATTAATGTTCTTGCACAGGTTATATGCTGACAACAATCTTTTAGATATATTGTGTTAAATAAAAATATCACTAAAATGAACCTGATCTCTTAGTTTCATTTATTTTTGAAGTGGTGCGGGTCAAACCCAGGGCCTCCCATATACTAAGGGTACTCTCTGCCACTAAGTTGCACCCCTGCTGTTCTTTTTAAAATGTGACAACTAGAAAATTTGAAATTGCTTGTGACTCACATTTGTGGCTTACTTTTTAGTGGGCCAGGCCAATCTAAAGAATCTTACAGCTGTGGGGAAACCACAGGGGCTACCTCAAATCAGTATCAGGAAGCCTCAGAGCCCCCTGAAATCTTCCAGGTCCGGAATAAAGACTAAATAAAAATTATCCTGGACACAGCCAGAAATAGTGACAGGAAGCCCTGCTGGAAAAGCAAGGAACTTGGGGCTGGGGATTTACCTCAGTGGCACAGCGCGATTCCCGGTACCGGAAAAAAACGAAAAAAAAAGCAAGGAACTTGGTGTTCAATCCTGACATGTTCACCATTCATACACATTTTTCTCACCTGTAAACAGGGATTTAGGGTAATAACCTGTGCCAGGGATATAAGGTAAGCAACTGCTTTGCCCAAAAGCACATAGGGGAGATAGAGGGTATGGAAAAAAAAAAAAAAAAAAAGAACTAAGCTGTATTGTGTCCGAGTACCAGCTCCCCACGATGAATATAATCATTATGTACTGCAAACACGCACAATAAAAAGTGAAAATAAAAACCATAAAAGCGAGGCTCTCGGTCTCTTCTTCTGATCCCACAGGTGCCAGGAAGCTGGACAGGGAGGCCCACGGCTGTAAGTCCAGCACACTGCGAGGCTGAGGCAGGAGCCCAGACTGAGCAACGCAGTATTAAGAGTTCTCTTTTCAAAAATAAAAAAAGGGCTGTGGGGTACAGCTCAGTACAGAGGCCCGGGTTCAGTCCCCAGTACGGGAGAAATAAAATGTCCGCGGATCCAAAAGTTGTTCCTCGATGTAAAGAGGGCGCCCGCGGCGGCTGACACCCAGGTGGGGGAGGACTCGTCCCTCGGGAGGGGCCGGGGCGATCAGGGCGACCCCGTTAGAGTCCAGCCTCTGCCCCTCGCTCATTCGAGCGCTTCTCCAGCCCGAGGTGGGGTAAAACTTAGCGGGTGCAAGCTGAGGTTTCTTAGGACTCTCTCCAACCTAGTCTGCGTCTCGGACACCCCGAAAGGCCAGCAACCTGTCAGGCTCCGAAAACCAAAGACTGCAAGAGAAGAAAGTCTTCATTCGGCGCTTGCAAAAGCGACCCCAGAGTTCTCCTAGGGCACTTCGGGAAATATAGTCCTTTGACACCAAAATGAAATCACTTCCGGGTCGGGATACCGGTGTAGGCGTGGCCCTAAGGCTCTGCCAGTGGGCGTTGACTTTCCCTGCTACCAGAAACTTGCGGTTTTCTGGCTTCCGGTTATTGACAGGCCCCACTACTTCCCCTTTTGCTTCAGGCACGCCTTTGCGCATGCGTCCCGCGGTCGTCTCATCTATTGGCCAACGAGGATTTGCATTCTGAAGACTACTTTTCCCAGAGGGTGGCGCGAGGAGGCGTAGCCTGCCCGCCCCAAGGGGCGGGGTGCGGCGCGCGGAAGGGACGCGGAACCTGTGACCTCTTTCTTTCTTTTATTTAACACAAAACTCGGTGCACACAGCTCACCTCGGTCCGGCCGCCCTGGGAGCACAAGCTATACCTCGCCCTGCTCCTCGAGTTCGGAGCTGCAAAGCCTCATTCCCCGGCTCCTGGTTCAGGACCCCTACGCCGCCCACCCCGCGGGCCCTGCCGTGCTCGGGGGCCGCGCGGGCCCAGCTTGGCCCGTGAGCACCTGCAGCAGCAGATCGGTGGCCAGCATGTGGGACGGCTCCTCGAAGCCTATGGTCAGCAGCTGCTGGTAGTCTCCGGGCGGCTGCGGGCACGACACCCTGGGGGCCGGGACACGCAGCGATGTGAGCGCCCCTGCCTCTCCGGAGCCCTCCCTCCAGGGAGGTGGCAGCCCAAACAGGCTTTGTTACCCCGGCGGTGGGAAAAACCCGGGGAAAAGTGGTTTTCTTGTTGTGGAGGAGATACAGTGTCAGGACTTCCGGAGGAAGTTGAATAACTCGCTCTGCTACGTGTCCAGTCACTGTGCTGTGTGTCCTTGGGCAGGTAACTTAACCTCTCTGATTACCTGTTCACATCTTTGTAAAATGGGGCCTGTAGTACAGACCTCAGCGGGTTGTCACAGAGTCTGCATTAAACATTTCAGGGCACAAATGCTATGTTGCCATGGGAGGTGAAGTGTTGGGGGAGTGGATGGTTTGGGTGAGCCCAAGCCCACCCTGCACTGCCCCAGCTCCTACCATGAATAAAGGTCATCGTCGGCTGGTCCTAGGGGTACCCAGCGGCCGATGGACCACAGTTTCTGGATCTGGGGACAAGAATTGGCTGGACTCTGGCCCGTATCCTCCCACGTATCTCGGTAGCATAGGAAGTAGCTAGGAGGGGAGAGAGCGATAGTTCAACTGAGTGATGGTTCTGTTGAGGGTTTTAATTTTGGAGGTGAAGGTGAAACTTATCAGAAGTTGCCCTGCAGTTCTCAGGTAGGGATATGACTCGACTCAATATCAGGGCCTTAGGCCGAGTATGGTGGCGCACGCCTGTCATCCCAGCGCTCGGGAGGCTGAGGTAGGAATATTGCTGAGTTCCAGGCCAGCCTGGACTACCCAGGGGGTAAAGAGATCCTACCTCAGAACAAAAACAGAACCCCCCAACCTCCCAAAACAAGGCCTTTTCTCCCTCCCAGCCCACTTTTAAAAGGCTTTTTAAAAAATTTATGAGTGAAGTTAAGGAAAAAAAAAGTAAACTGGGCATGGTGGCACAAACCCATAATCTTAGCACTGGGGAAGCTGAGGCAGGATTGCCCTGAGTTCGAGGCCAGCCTGAACTACGTAGTGAGACCCTCTCTCTCTCAAAAAGAAAAAAAGAAAAAGTAATGGCTGGGGGTGTATCTTGTTGGTAGAGCCTTTGCCTAGCATGCCTGAGTACCTGGCTTGCTTTTCACTTGGTTGTGGCTTGGAGGCCCATACTGGGATTGGGTATAGACAGGGGAGGCCTTTGATTTTGGTAAGAACTCACTAATCCACATGGGAATTCTGCCCCTGGCTGCTGAGCTTTGGAGTGGTTTCTAGGTTCCAGCGCATCTTCTTGTAGAGATACCGGGGCTGACGGCTGGCAGTGTAGGCAGCTGGGGTGCAGTATCTGAAGATGGATACTTCCTGGAAAGGGCTGATGGAGAATCTCCCACAGAAGAAGCAGGAAATGCTAGCCAGAGATGGGAGAATGGAAGATGAAGCTGGAGCCTGGGCTCTGCCACTGCCCCAGATGGGTGTCAGACCCTCTTACCTCAGGGGGTCCGTCTCCTCCAGCTCCACGAAGCCGAAGGAGGCATACATGAGGACCAGCTGCTCCAGGCACAGGGTGAGCTGCTGGGAGATCTCCAACAGCTGCAGAGAAGAGGGCAGTGAGCTGGCCTGGCAGGAGAGCCGGCCTGGCAGGAGAGCCCACCCCTGGGCCTGGGCCCCGAAGCTGTTACACGCACCCCCTTCCGGACCAGCTCCTGCAGGGCTCCGTGGATGGGAGGCACGCTCCGAGCAGCCGCTTCCAGATACAGGAAGTACGGCTCACACATCCTTAAGAAGGTGGGCATGGCCCTTGCCAGCTGTTCCTTCTGGACCTGGTCCCTACTAAATGGAGAAAGGGGTCTTTTACCTGGGTGCTCCCACCTCTCTATTTCTCCCATTCTACTCACCTTCCACTTGTGTCCCTGTTCTGCCTTTTGGTTTTGGGTTTTTTTGTTTTGCTTTTTGGTATTTGGAGACGGTCACACTCTGAAGGGCTGGCCTCGAACTCACATGCCTCAGCCGCCCGAGTGCTAGCATTCCAGGTATATGCCATCATGATCAGCTTTTTTAAAAATTATTTTTGGCTTGCTGTGGATGGAAGGAAGAGCCTTGGGCATGCTGGGCAAGTGGTAACCCTGGACTGCACCCTACCTACCCCAGTCTGCCTCCTTGTTCTAAGATCCCTTGGTGCCAGACCTTTCTCAGGATACCTTCCTGGTCCACCTGCATGAAAACCATTCAGGACCCGAGTTGAAACCCTAACACCTCGCTGGGTGGTGTGGGGTAGCACATGTCTGTAATCCCCCCACTCCAGTGGCTGAGGCAAGATTGCCAGGAGTTCAAGACCAGCCTAAATTGAGACCCTGTCTCAGAAAAACAAAAACAAAAAAAATTCGAAAAAGTTAACACCTGAGTTACATAACTGCCTTTTGCTCAAAACTCTGCAAAGTGCAGCCCAGATATCTAGTTTAAACCAGCCTCGCAGGGGATTCCAATAGACTCTGAAACTGAGAATTAGTCTCCCAGCTGTGGGGACCGTATTATCCACTGGGGTGGGGTGGGGAGTTTCAAACTGGTAGTACACGGGCCAAATCTGGCTCAGATGGGCTTGGTTTAGCTGGCACAGGGTTCAAAATCTAAGGCAGCATTTGCACACTGGGAGGAACGTCCTTGCGATGTGGCAGCCCAGAGGCCTGGCTGCCTGTGCCTCGGACATTTCTGCACGCGGGATTCCTGTCAGTTTCATGCTACTATTTTTGACTCTTGTGACTTGGTGTGGACTGCCCGCCTAGCCTGTCACCCCTCTTGAGTCCCCTTCCAGGGTCACCTATAGAGCAAGTAGCTTTGGAAGTCGTCTGCCTTCTTCAGCAGGTAGCGGAGCTGCTCGGTGACAGGGCTGAACATCGCGTCCAGGGTCAGGTGAGCTGGGGTTGGCACTGTGGACCCCGGGTCGGAGGCGGCCTCCGCTATCTGTCCGTGGGCGTCCTCGGGCTCCGTCGCTGGTGGGTCCTCAGGTCTGCCAGGTGGTGTGGACCATAAGGGGTCCCCGCAAGGCTGGGCCCCGGGGTCCAAGTAGCCCAAGGACGGCGTTTCCCCGGGGTCCAGGGGGAGCGGCCCTGAAAACCACTCTTCCGTAGCCATCGAGGGGCAAGGGGCGGGGACCCGCGCTCTTTAAGGCTCCGCGGCGCACGTTTGACCCCGCCCTGGGGGCTGGGTAGGCGCAGGAGTGGCTGCCTGCCCCACGCCGGCTTCGACCTCTGCGCAGCCCGCCTCGGGGAGTTCGCCTCATTTGAATTCCGGCTCGCGGCCTGCTGAGCACCCACGTGCGCAGGGCACCTGGCACTTGAGGGGCGGGCAGCGAGGGCGAGCCCTCGCGGACACAGGTATCTGTGTCCGAGGCGTGCAGGGAGGAGGAATCTCAACTCGAGTCCAGATGGGGAGACCCGCGGGCGTCTAGAGAAGCCCAGGCCACAGGGCAATGGAGTTGTGCATTCGGTAAGGATGCGCCATGTCACAGTTGTTACTCTTAACAATAAAAATTCCCTTGGAACGTCTCTCCTAGCCCACAACCTCATTGACCAGTCCCTTGACGGTGCCCCATTCAGCACGCGAAGGCTGACAAGTCCATGGTGCTGCTATGAAGACAAGGACATTAATTATATTCAAGGGCTCTGGGTAAAGAAGGCTACAAGTGTCTGACACCACCTGTGTGACCGCGAGCGTCTCTGCTGTCTGAGCGCGTTGTGTCCTCTATAAAGTCGGTTTTTATGAGCTCTTTGTCTCATGGGGCCTCGGCGAGGGCAACCAAGGAAATGCTCATAAAACATGGGAGTTTAGTTAGTCACTCAACCAGCATTTGAGCACCGACTGTGTGCCAGGTGGCCCTGGGCATGGGGAGAAGACAAAACAAAACATTTCCATTCTGGAGCCATTATCTTTGTGGTCCTTTTTCCTTTTTGCACTGCCCGGACCTCCTGTGTGCCAGGTAGGCGCTCACCACAGAGCCACACTGCCCAGCCTGGAGCACTAACTTACAGCTGGCAGTGCAGCAGCCCCATCACTACCCTTGCTGTGTCCCCAAGAGTCCCTGTCCTACCCTTAGGGGTGCCTAGGAGGTGCTCAGCGCCCCTCCCCCACTCCATTCATTAAATGGACTCTGGCATCTTTTTCTTTCTTTTCCTTTTTTTTTTTAAAATTTTATTTAAAAAACCTTCGGTGCAATATTAAAAAGCAATACAGCCAGCTGGAGCAATGACGACAGAAAGAAAAGGGAAAGAAGACCCAGGGACCCAACCCAGGTGTTCCCCAATCCTCCTGTGCTGGAGGGCGGGGGCAGCGGGCTGGGAAGGGGCTTGGGTGGTGGGGGAGAGAGACCACCCACCAAAATGAACAAGCAGAACAAAACATTTATATAGGAAACATCTGGCTGAACTGAAGATGATTTTTGGGGAAGCCCAGTATTTTTTTCCAAAATTGTCCTTGGGCGGGGAGGGGGCTGGCCTCCTGGAGTCCCACCCCATACTCCCTCCTTGGGGAGCAGTGGATGTGCCGCAGGGGAGCGGGGGCAGGTGTGTGTGAGACACAAAGGGAGATGAACAGAGGTGCCCCTTGCCGGAATCTGTCACCAGGGCCCGGTGTCCTAACCAGCTCCAGGACTCTGGGGGAGTCGGGCGACATGGGGGCTGGCATAGACCCGGGGAGGGCAATGCTGGGCGTTCAGCCTAGAAAGCCGTCGGGGTCGTCATCTTCAAAGTGGCCTTGCTGAAGCACCTTGATGTGGTGCTCATAGATTTTGAGAGCTGGGCCCAGGCGGATGGAAAGGCCGGTCAGCACATCTGTGCGCTGCATGAGCAGCAAGGATTTGCCGTCGATTTCCTGGGCAGGACAGAGACAGGGTCAGAGCACACCCCATGGGGCCTGCGTGCAGGGGATGCTCTGGGCGTGGACTCACCTGCTCCTGGAAGGCAGTGGCCTGCTCGGGGAAGCCGGCCTCGGTGAAGTACTCTACCACGTCCATCACTGTCCATTCCACAGGGTCCGCTGGCTTCTCCTTGCGCCCAGGACTGCAGTGAAGCACATGGCTGGCTGAGCACGGATGCCCTTCCGCTTGTTTTGAACACCTGAGCAGTCCCTCCCAGCTCCTCAAGGGCCCCAACTTACGGACAGCCAAAGGGAGTCCCGTCCCCCCCAGGGAGGGCTGGCTTTCCTGGAGGCAAAGGCACAGGGGACGGGGAATCTGGCCCAGTGGCAACAGAGGCTGATAAAGAAAAAGCAAGAGTCTGTGGTACTGCCCCGGACTATGGTTCCTGCCCACCTGGCACCCCCGCCTCCTAGCACGCCCTCTCCTCAGTCCTTACCCGATCCTCCTTCCTTACTCATGGCCGCCATGGAGAACACCTGGCGAGTACCACTGCCGGGTGCTGGTCCCCGCCCTTCATCCTGCCCCGGGAGGGGTCCACAGGACGTCCACTCCTTGACCCTCTCCTTAGTGCTAGGAGGGCCCCGCTCGCCATTAAGCTGGAGGTGCTGGGCACCTGCAGGACGGTCGCTCTCAGGCACTTCTGAGCCCTCGGACACGTCATCTTCATCATCTTCATCATCTTCATCTTCTTCCTCTTCTTTCTCAAGCACTCGATCTTCTCCACCTCTCTGGGACCAGGGAGAGAAGCAGGCAAGGTTGGCAGACCCTAGGATCCTGGGCCGAGTCGCATGACCCATGCCATCTTTAGTAACACCGCGGACTAACTTTTACACATCCACTCCTTGCCAGGCTTCATGTTCACAGAGCTCTCTGCAGCCAAACCTCGCTAAAGTCGCTCTACAACCCCAAGGGGTCGCTACTGTGATCCAGCCGCGCTGACAGCGGTGGAAACTGAGGCTGGGGGCAGACCGAGTCCCTTGCCAAGGTCACCAAGCGCGGAGCCCACCGAGGACGCGCGCACAGCACAGGCCCCCACCACCCCACTCCTCCCGGGACGCCAACTTCGCCCGCCCGCCCTCACCTGCCCGCCGCGCGGCGCCCCACTCCCCGCGCGCTCACCTTGCTCCG